GAGAGGAGGGAAGGGAGGAGGAGAGAGGAGGAGAAGGAGAAGGAGAAGGAGAAGGAGAAGGAGAAGGAGAAGGAGAAGGAGAAGGAGAAGGAGAAGGAGAAGGAGAAGGAGAAGGAAACAAGCAGACAAGGAATGTACAACTACTATAGGCAAGCAAGAAAGCTATCAGTCAACTGCCAGGACCACAAGCTACAGTAAGCAGCCCATTGTGGTGTGTTTCCTGCCTGGAACTTGGCCTGGATCTCAGTAGCAACCAGAAGAGGAGCAACCACGGTGAGGCAGCCCCTCGTCCCAACAAGTGCAAGAACTTTTGGAGAGAGGCGAAGGTTATATGCCACTTTACACCCTTTAAGACTTTTATTTGTTATAAGGACTCACCATCAAAGACTTATTTGCATGGCTCCATCAACCTGCAAAGCCTAGTTAACCCAGGGCCACAGGAAAGAGGAGTGCTACAATAAAGCATTTTGTACAGTTATCTGCTGCGTAGTGGTGGTATGTCCAGTCCTTGGAAAATAAAGAACCCTCACAATCATTAACCTGCAGTCCAATCTACTTCACAAGCTCATTTTTGTGGGGCAATGCTGGGGCCAGGGAGTGGTGCGTACTTAGCTTGAGCCCCTGGAAGAATGGGGCAATAGGAATCCGGCAAATAAATCATAAGTCTGTTGCCATCCGCAATCATCCGTTCTTTGTGCTCAGAGATTAAGGACTTATCATAAAGGGAGCAAACAGATGAGAAAGTGGGGGGGGGGGTCTTATGGTAAATCGAATCTAGGCCCCCACCGTAGATAATGAAGTTCTATTCTTTATGTCTCAACGGGTAACACAGGGGTTATAAATCCCATCATAAAACATAGATTAAAAAAAACTCTCCTAGCAAATGACATGTGGGTAGATGAAATATGGATCTATGCAATATTTGTCTTTCAGATATATAGAAAATGATAGCAGTCCTAACCTTTTATTCCCTGAGAATTGGTAGTCATAGCAATCTAACTGCACTGAGAAATTCAACTCCAAAATACAATGGCTGGGTTCACATAACAGACTAAACCAGAGACCCTGGTGGACCCCAAACCCCAACAGTGGCTGTGTTCACATAACTTCTCCCCAGCCCCAAATCAACCCAGATATGGCTTCCTATATTATCCTGGTTTGTACCAGATGCTCAGACAACGGTTGGGTTCCAACAGCACAGTGAACTACACATTACCCAGCCTTATTCCAGCCTAATCTAACATGTTTGGTTCTGGGTGCTGTTGCACCGACCATCTTGACTTTTTTGAC